CTCCTTTTCTTTTCTTTTTTTTTTAACGGACAATCCTTTTCTTTTGGATTTATTAGGAAACTATTCATGAAAATCTGGACACCGTATATGTAAGGATACACTTCTTACTTGACAAGAGAAACCTTATATGAGGTTCAGAGTATGTTTTTATGACCTTCTTCCATTCAGTGTTCTGCATTTTGATGATGAGAATGTCTGGTCATAGTAATGTCCGGAGCATAGCAAAGTTAGCTTTTGCTGTTTATGTGTATTTCCCCATGACGAGACTATGTTTATTCATGAGTATTTTCTTGATTCAGGGGTTCAAAAGCTAAGCTCAGTGAGTATTCAGAAAAGATTGAAGCACTAGCTGCCACACTTGCTGCTTCAGTGGTATTTTTCTTATCTCGTTGATTCATATTTATGCTGACCCCACTCTCTGTTTGAACTGGTTTCTCAGATCAGTACATGCCAGCATTACTCATACAGTCTAGCTTCTAGATACACCTTCATTACTATCTTTGGGATGCAGACAGAAAATGAAAAACCAGTTGATGAGATCAAAGAAGAAAGCTCTTGTGAAAGAGAAAAGGCTGAGAGTCCAATATCCTTGTCAGCAGGATTGCGAAGGCGATCAACGTAAGTAAAATCTTGTCCCTTTTTTATTTGTTTCTTTTTCTTACAGTTACAACTAATGAACTAATGGATGCAAATAAGTAGGGCTCAGGTGGAAGCTGGTACAAGCAGTCGTGATAGAACTAGAAGAGAAAGAGATACTGGAGCGCCTATTAAATTGGATGCAGAAGCTCAGGCTAACATTGAGAAGCATAGGTATGCACCCCCTTTTTTGGCAAAGTTTCTTGTGGACCCGAGAATCTGGCTTAGTTCCCTCATTATCTTTTATCCACATGAGCAACCAGTTTACTGATTTGCTCATTGACTGGTCTCGCTGATTTTCCTGTGATAGGATAGGTACAATCAATGCTATGTTTGATCATTACCATTTTCTTGTGATGTTTTAAGGCCTAAGCATGTGACATTCAGGGTTGTATGAGATGAACAAATAGTTATACTGGGTGGCTATCTTCTTACTATGTTGGATCTCCTAACTGCACAGGGACCTGCAAGATAGTCTGATAGACGAAATGGTTGACTTAGCACGTCAGCTGAAGGAAAGTAGCCTTGTAGTGAACCAATCCGTGCAAGATACAGTGAAGGTAGGTTTTTCTGTTGCCTTGTGGAATTAATTGTTTCTTATGTGGATGAAGTTCCCTCTGCTCCCTTTCTGCTGGATTTTTACTGAGAGAGCTCACTTGCTGGGTACTACTGATGCAGATCCTTCATTCCAATGAGAGAGCCATGGAACATAGCTTGGCGAGCACCGGTAGCGCAACGGCGCGAGCCTCTGAGGTCTACTCGCTGGCCTCCAAGACAACCTGCTTCCAGTGGTTGCTCATCTTTCTGATGACCTGCATGTTCGTCATGGTGGTTATGCTCATACGGGTCACCTGATGGTGCTCGCTGCGACCACTGAAAACACTGTCATCAGTAGCCGTTAAGATTGTACAATCTTCTAAATGATCCTTCTGAACATAAACATGAACCAGTGTTCCGAATGAGCATTGCTTCTCACCGTCATTGTGCAGTTCGCTGAAGAAAGATGCATCTGTGCACCCAGGTAACTGTCAAGTTTCAGGGAACTCTGAATATTGTGGCTTTAGAATAGACTTAGACTTACTCTGCATTGATATGTTAGTCAAGAGTATTGAAAACATTTTTCGTCCTTGTTTTCGTTTTTTGCTCTTTGCCATATATCAGATGTCATATTAACTTTTTTTACAATATTTTGTGCTGTCATTCCCGTTACGCGTCACTAAATTATCCTTAGTTAAGAAGACCACCCCTCTACACAGGCCCAAAAGAATATCTTAACCCTTAGCGGGACTTTCAACTTCGATATGAAATAAATTAACATCAACGAACGACTGGACTATGTGTAACCAATCAGTTCCTTTATCACCTGATAAGAGTCTGGTGAAAAGTATCATGTTTCCATTGCACAATGTTATACAGAGAAGGGCACTGCTGGCTAACCTAGTGCTCGTCCATCAGCAACTAAGTATGAGCCCTTACTAAAAAAAAGTCTTCCTTGGCTTTTAATAGACCCTTCGAGAATGGTGAATTTGCCGGTCTTACTGTCACTTGAGACAGTTTCTGAATGCGGATATTTGTTGAAGCAACTCCTGCCAGACTACATTTTCATTTATAAGCTTGAACAAACATTTTATTTTGGATTCCAGATCCACTCCAAGATCACCCTGGTCCTTTGGTCTGCAAATAATGCCATACTTGGTTAATCGATATTTCTTCTTACGCTCACCACGTAGCCAGAGAAAACGAAATCTGTTCACCCCATTATTTATTTCAAAGGACAAAACATTGGTAGACTGGTGAGCAATGCATTGATAAGAACAAGTCGTCCTCCATATGACAACTCACCGTTCCAGCTATCATTTTTTTTCTCAAACCGGTCTTCTATCCTTTTCCATTTCTTACTCGAGAGTTTCCAGAAATGAACAGGGGTACCAAGGTAATGGAATGGGAAAAATCATGACTTGCACCCAACTAAGTCATATTTGTCCTCAATCTCCTTAGCCTGACCGAAGCAGAATATCTCACTTTTATGAAATTTTTCTTTTTTTAGACCAAAAGGTTGCTCAAAATGCATAAAACGAGTTTCACATTCGCTGCTTTCATCATGTCGGATTCCATGAATATGGAAGTGTCATCGACACACTGAAGAATGGTTATACCACCATTTACGAGATGCGTAAGTCTACTAAGTTGCCCATCTCTGTTAGCCCATGTGCAATGAGGATAGTTAACATGTTAGCGACAAGATTGAAAATGATGGGAGACATTGGATCACACTGCCTCGGACCCTTCTAGTCTGAAAGCAATGACCAATATCATCATTGACTTTAATCACCAATTCGCCATGTTACCGCTTATGAGGAACCTAGCAATCAAGTCGCACCACTGTGGCGCGAAACCTTCCATGCAAAGAGTCTAACGAATCCAGATATGAAACATCATCATTACCACAAGCCTACGCTCAGTTAAGGAACAAATGCACAAAATTAAAGGAACAACTGTGAATATTACGAAACCTTTCATGCAAAGAGTGTATCAAAGCCATATATGGAACATCATCATTACCACAAGCCTACGCTCAGTTAAGGAACAAATGCTCGAAAGGAACAACTGTGAATATTATGTAGCTAGAATATTCCGTGCAACTTCATCATTCACTTTTAGGACTGTAAAACAAACTATTCATTGCGGCTTTGACTCGCCACAACAGCAAGTAACAAATTTATTTCTCAAAACATAACACAGTAGTTCCGCCTCTGATATAGCATGCTGCCGAGGCACAGGAATGCATAGCTCTTGTCCTAAATTAGAATCCATAACCTGTACAAAAAATGAAAACAAGTTAGTAAGACCATATTGATTCCTGAGTAAGTAGCAGACGATGATGAGCAGATTGTCTCTGTATACCTGAACCGCACATTGGGTTCACAACAGGTGCACACTTAGGCGCCCTTATGTCGACGACAACAGCGTCAGAGATGATGAAAGTTTTCGCCACCGATGCAGCATGCTCCAAGCAACACCTCACCACCTGTTTGCGCAAAATCCAGTTAATGTTTGTTTGAGCTTGATGCTTATGCACAGAAAGGAGGGTAAAGAAACTAGTTGATTGTGAATAAGGAGGGACATAGAATCTCTCTTCGAAAGGTCTTATCAAACTGGTCACCCCAAAATTTATGGGTTCCATGCTTAATGTCTCAGCATAGTTATATATACAATTAGGAAAAGCATTGAATCGCCATTTCCCGACAAAACATAATGGACTCTAGGATTTTCAGGTACATTGGCTTACATGAAAAAAGTGTACCATAGCATCCTCATATGAGAGTATCGGTTATATGGCGTGGTCAAAGAGAACATTGCTTCTGCAAGCACATACCTTGGTTGGATCAATGATACCAGCAGCCATCAAATCCTCATACTTTCCAGTGGCGGCATTATAACCATACCTGGAGTTGTCAATGGCAAGGACCTGGATGAAGGCAAGTTCAAATTAGTTATACGTAAGTTGCTGAATATCAAATGCATACTTGAGAACAAATTTGAGTTCCGAACCTTCTCAATAACTACACTGCCATTAATGCCAGCATTTTCTGCAATCAGTTTGAGTGGATAACTCAAGGACTTCCTTACAATTTCAGCCCCAACCTTGAAAATACGAAGAGGGGATTAGCTCGTTGGGATGGAAGAAAACAACACCTTGAACTAAAGACAGGACTCTAACAGTGAAGCTTTGCGAATGAGGATCTCATTCACTTTGTTTTATACCTTCTGTTCATCATTCTCAAGGGTTTGTTTAATTGCATCAACTTTTGATGCAAGCCTTACAAGGGTACATCCACCACCGACAACAATACCTTCCTCAACAGCCGCCTGTCCACAAGGGAAGTAGTCAATTATCGTAGGAATGAGTACATATAGATTATGTTGTAATTAGAAGTAAAATCAGCACAGTTCTACAGTCAGAGGCCATGGGTAATCCTCCTTTTCGGAAAAAAGCACAGTTCTCTAGAAGGCCCTCTGAATTCGCACAGGTACACAAATCCCAAAAATCAATTGGAATTGAACCGGGAGAAAACATTACCTTTGTTGCATTCAGCGCGTCTTCAACCCTCAGTTTCTTTTCCTTCAGCTCGGTTTCAGTCTGTGCTCCTACCTACAAACCAAGATGTATTATGTTATAGCTATTATATTCTGCTAATGCAACCTAAAAAGTGCACTACTGGGTGTATTTCTGGAATTGTTGCCTAGTACATCAATAGATATCTCAGCATGAACATCGGCTGTACCTGAATGATAGCAACACCACCATATAATTTGGCTATCCTCTCGTTTAGCTTTTCTTTTTCATATTCTTGTTCAGTAGCCTGAAAAAAAATAAAGTTTCGGAATGAAATTTTAGTCAGGGTATTTTCATCCACACTTAAGTGAGACACACACTTGCGCGGGACAAGCTAAGTGAACTATACATACTGGAAAAATGGAGCATCCAAAAGAGACTCGATAAACAGAGAAGAGCCGTGAGAAAAACTAGAACATATATATGATTCGACAATTATATAGGATATGGAAACGAAGAATATCAAGTCCACAATATACAGACCTCAATCTGGTTCTTGATTTGTGTCACCCTTTTGATTACTTCCTCTTGTGTAGTACCATCTCCAATTATTGTTGTTGAATCCTTAGTAATTACAACCTTGGCAGCAGTTCCTAGGACAGTTTTGTCTGCTTTATGTAGTGGCACTCCAAATTCGTCTCTGATTACAGTGCCTACATGAAGAATGACCGCTATAACTGAACAAATATCACAACGGGATGCATCGCATGATCGCATCGCACCAAACATCAAGCCCACCTCCTGTCAGAGTGGCGATGTCATCGAGGTATTGACTCCTGCGCTCCCCGAAACCAGGGGCTCTTATAGCAGCAATCTGTAGTGAGCCTCTAAGCCTGTTGAGCACGAGGGCTGCAAGAGCTTCCTGCTCAATGTCCTCTGCAATTATTAGAACTGGATATCCACTCGTAATAGCATCCTCTAGAATAGCGATGAGATCTTTGGCGCTGTTAATTTTCTTGTCCACGAGAAGGAGCTGAGCAATATTATAAACATATCAGCTTAAGAGCACATAACTCATGGAGATTGTGGTAACTGAAACAAGTAGACGAACTGCCAAGACAATGTGCGACAGACCTTGCAATTGTTATACTCCACTGTCATTCTTTCACCGTCGGTCACAAAGTAGGGAGAAATATAGCCGCGGTCGAATTGCATCCCTTCGACCACATAGAGGCTGTTTTCAGAACTCTTTCCTTCTTCGAGCGTGACTACCCCATGTCGCCCAACCTTGCTCACAGCATCAGCTATCATGTTACCAATTGCATAATCATTTCCAGCACTTACAGCAGCAACATCGACAAGTTCGCTATCTTTGACCTGCAGTATTTAATGCAACTTGGCAAATTTGAATTTTAAATAGAGGATACTCCCTTTGAAAATTAATATATGAGATTCAAATGAGGATTGAGGCTCCTGAAAATGATAACAGTGGGCTAACATCTCATGAATGGTAGTTAGGGCCTAGGGGTGAGTCATCTGCTCCATTCATAATTAGCATAGGGAGCAGAAGTTACTATAATTAATCTGATGCATTTTCTTGTTGCATTACAAGATTGGTCGAGTATTTATCATAGGATGATAGAGGAAATGTGATATAGAATTCAGAATGAATGTATTTTCGGAACTGAACAATGGATTAGCAAATCTAAACCTCCTTGGACATCTTTTGGAGCTCATAGACTAGCGCTTTGGCTGTTTTCTCGATACCATGGGCAATCTGTACTGGATTAGCACCAGC